CCTGACCTTAACTACCACACCACCCCAAACAGGCATGGATAATGGGATTTACGAAACACCACAGAATGGAGGACAATGGCTAGAAGGGCCACATCAAGCAATTCACTGCAATAGGTTATGTTTTCTTGTCCAGTCTGCAACTCTCCATCTCTTGAATGGTGCATTTAATCCACTGACGTTCTGTGTGATTATTGACAAGTATGTTGCTGTCATTTTATGTGGGTTTTTTTGTAGTGTTACTAATTTCTTTGTTCCATATAATTTTTTGTGTTGAGCTCGTTTTGTTTATGAGTTGTGTTATCACTTCCTTTATTACTATTGTTCTAGTATTTGCTAAATATTTGTGCTTGTCTTCTTTTTTTATTTCAGTGTGAAGGTTTATCATTTTTCTTTAAGGCTACCTTGTGATTTATAATTTTCTTCCCAAGTTTAGAACAGTCCATTTTATCTTGCAATTGTCTTGACTTCCTCACCATTTAGAAGTTCTGTAACTACAAAATTTTTTCCCTCTTTTTGGTTTGTAGCTGTCCTCATTTGCCAGTTCATGTCTCTGGTTCTCTGTTTATAGTCTTGTAGGCTTATTTACTTTGGATACTTCCATAACTGGGTTAGTTTCTGGGTTATGTCATCATGTGTGTTAATGGTCAGTTGTTGTGTGCTATTGTTGGTTCTCTGTCCAAAGGACTCCCTTTAGCATCTCTTGTAAGGTTGGTCTCATTTTAACAGATTCCCTTAATTAATTTCTGCTTCTCTGGAAATGTTCTAATTTCACCATCATATCTGAGGGACAATTTTGCTGGGTATATAGTTCTTGGTTGGGAATTTTTTTTTCTTTCAGAGTTTTGTATATACCATCTCATTGTCTTCTCACCTCCATGATTTCTGCTGAGAAATCTGAGCTTAGTCTTATTGGTTGCCCTTTGTAGATAACTTTTTGTTTTTCTCGTGCTGCTTTCAGGATTCTTTCTTTGTCCTTGGTTTTGGTGAGTTTGATGATGCTATGTGTTGGTGATTTTCTTTTGGGGTCTATCCTGTTTGGGGTTCATTGGGCTTCTTGAATGGATATATTCTCATCTAACATCATATCAGGGGAAGTCTCCTCCAAGAAATCTTTGACAATTTTCTCTGTGGTTTTATTTGTCTCTTGCTGTTCTGGAATTTTGGTTACATGTGGGTTATTCCTTTTGATGGTATCCCACATGAACCTTAGGCTTTCTTCATTTTGTTTCACTCTTTTTTCTGATTGATCCCTTTCCAAAGACATATTGGGGTATTTGTCTTCAATATCACTAATTCTGTCTTCCATTGATTCAATTCTACTCCTTTGCCCATTCAATGTGTTACCTATTTCTTAAAATTTAGTATTAATCATCTGGATTTCTATTGACATTCAGTGTGATTATTGACAAGTATGTTGCTGTCATTTTGTTATGTGTTTTTTTGTGTGGTGTTACTGATTTCTTTGTTCCATATAATTTTCCGTGTTAAGCTCATTTTCTTTACAAGTTGTGTTATCACTTCCTTTATTACTATTGTTTTAGTATCACTATTTTGTATCATTTCTAATTTTTCATTTATTTTGTCAGTTTGTCCTTATATTGTCTTCTGAAATTGTTGTAGGGTTTTCTCTGTGTTTTCAATTTTGTCAGTGTTTTCCTTGACCTATCTCTCCATCTGTTGAAAGTCCCTAAATATAATTCTTTTGAATTCCTTATCAGGGAGTTCCAATGCTGCTTCTTCCTCAGGGATGTGTTCTGGGTCTTTATCTTGGTCCCTTGTTTCTACTGTTTTATCTTGCTTGTTTGTGTGGACTGTGATGGTCTGTTGTCTCTGAGATAATGTGATGTTTTTGTGTTTATATTTAATTGATGATTATATGTTGGAGTGATTCACCCAAGATTTCCATTTTCTTTGGACTTATCTGAGTAAGCAGGGTATTGTGCTCCTCTATTTGCTAGTTGGCAGCACTTCTGCACTCACCAGCTGTATCCTTTCCAGTTGTCAGCTTCCTGTATGTCCATGCTGTCTTTGGCAAGTGAAGCCTATTCTTTAGTCCCTGGAATCTGAATGAGAATGTTGTCACTTTAAATATCCAAGATGGCTGCTGCTTGTAAACATTCCAAATGGCTGCACCCAGATGCCACTTGTAAGCATTCAAACTGGCTGCACCCATGTGCTTCTTGTAAACATTCAAAATGACTGCACCCTCCAGACAGCCAGAAGTTCACAGCTCAGTCTGTCTCCTTCTTTGCTGTTTCCCTTTTCCGTTGTCAGCTACCCAGGCAGTAGTCCATGCAGCCCTTGTGAGCAGAGCCAATTTTTAGGTTAATACTCAGGTCCTAACACCACTTGGAAATATTCAGGCTGTCCACAGTGTCAGGACAGCTGACAGTCTGAAGCTCCACTTATCTCCTTACTGACTGTTTTCATTCAGCTTCTTCTATTAGTTGGTGTTTAATCCACTTCTGTATCCTTCATTTCAAAGCTCAGGGCTCCAGAATTTTATTATGTACCTTTGTCAATTGGTTTCTCTTTTCTTTGTTAAAGAGGGTCTGTGTAGTTTGTCTGCCTATTCTGCTATCTTACCAGAAGTTCCCTCTAATGTTTTTCTTAAAATGCCATGATATTTCATAAAATAAATGAGGGCATGCCCTCTGCCTCTATTCCCAAGATGGAGGGTATTAAGTTGAAGGCCAGAGATCTGGCCCAGGGGCAGAGATAAAGCCCTCACTACAAGGGTGTGATCCTGCACAAGTCCCTTCCCCAACCCAGGCCTCAACATCCCTAACTGGCAAATGGGATGGGATTTCTGAACTTCCTCTCAGCTCTAACAGTCCCTGATTCTCCCCAAATGGGAATGGGATAAATTGGCAAGATTGCCTGAGAGAGAGCAGAATAAACCCAAAGCCAAACTCACTGCTGTTGAGTAGATTCTCACTTATAGCTGCTGGAATGGGTCACAGAACAGGGCAGTGAGCATTCCAAACAACAGAAGCTGCTGTTTTATTTTGTTCCAAACTAACTGAGAGCTTCTAGAATCCAGGCTAAACCTTCTCCCTTCTGGGGGAAGCAATGAGTGTGTATGGGAGGCAGTAGTGAATTAAGGAGGAGAGGTACTAGAGTAAAGAAACAACTACTCCAGCCTTCACTATGCCTTTTATTACAGAAAACAAACAAAAACAAAACACAATTTTTATTATACAAGTACAGCATGTTTATTGTAGAAACTTTAGGAAACATACATTACCAAAAAGAAGAGAGAGGGAAAGAAAGCACCTATAATCCCAGTCCCCAGAGACAACTCTATTTTGTACATCTCCTTTTGAACTTCCTTTTATGCATAGGAACTTTCACACATACCAATTTATTTATATATATTTTTTACAACAAATGGATCTAATCATACCTGATGTTTGATAACCTCCTCATTAGTTAAACAACTGAAAATATTACCTTGTATGTATATATATATATATATATATATAAACCTTGTATATCACATACATATCCTATTTGATATTTTATAGCAATGTTTTAATATAGTGTATTGTAATATACTTTAAATGCAGTGTTATGGTAACAGTTAATGTTTACTGAGTGGTTACTATATGTCAGGCACTGTACTGAGTGCTCTGGATATATGATCTCATTAAATCCCATAGCCAGGTAGGTGCTATTATAATTTTCTTTTAATGGCAAGGAAACTGAGGCTGAAAGAGTTAAGAAATTTTCCCAAAATCATACAAGTAGTTATAAATGAGTCTGAATTCCAACTTATGTCTGATTGGCTTCAAAGCACTTTCTCTTAACCACTGCAATTTCTATACCACTGTATTTACTGGTTGCACAATATTCCTTTTCTAAGGATATACAGTAACTTATTTAACAGGGCCCCTCCAGTTAAATATTAAAGCTATTCCTCTCCTCCGGCCCCTTTTTTATTGGCTATCATAAACCATACTGATCTGGACATCATGCACATACATAT